TTTATCTTGTTGTGGTCAGTCTTATCCTTTTACCTGTGTTTCCCTTGGCATGAATAAGGCAAAAGTTTGCATGAATGAACATCTTTTATACCTAAGCAGTGACCTTTTCTTCCTTGGTAATATGTTTCTTTAGAGAGGAAGTTAAGTTTTAAACAATGAAGTGACATGTTGGCATTGCTAACCAGGACCAACTGTTTGCATTCATCAGTGACTCTTCAGGAGAAAAACGAGAGAGTCTGCTTTTGCCTCAGAAATCTGATGGAAAGTCAGCATATGTCAAAGTCACATAGCCGTGTGTGTGTGTGTGTGTGTGTGTGTGTGTGTGTGTGTGTATTGAGATGCAAGACTTTGTGTTCAGTGCTTTCTTAATGATCCTTTCCAAATCCTTTAGAAAAGCCCATAAGTGAACCTTTAGAAAAACCTAGAAGTATTAAGAATTTTCAAGTTTCATAGGAAAAATACTTAGTCCAGGCTATACTTTTTTTTTTTTTATGAACATTTACAGAGATTTTGGATTTCCATTCATTCATTTTTACATTTTTCTCCCTGCCCATTCCTCCCCCCAGTTCCCTCTTCTTTTTGAAAAGAAAAAGGAAAAATTCCTTCATTGGTATACAACCCCCACCTCCCCCAAGTACACTCCACTATGCAACTTTGATTCTGGACTCTTGTGATAACCATAATACTCTATCATATATCACTTTTAAACTGTTCTCTCCCTCATCTGTTTCAATGCAGTGTACATAATTTATCCAGTTTTTCTCAGTCTTACCCCAACCCTGATGTCAGGCTATACTTTTACTGTTTGTGTCACTTTTTTTAAAAAGACATAATCTTATCCGTGGTTCTGTATGATCACAAAAAATAGGGCTTTTTAAAAATAAAAATCATAGTATAGTAAGCTCATTTGAGCAGTGACTACATATACATTTTATAAATGCTTGTACTGTAGTTTATTATACTATAAAGTTTATAGGAACACATGAATATAGCACATTTCTCCTTTTTACGGAATAATGAGAAATAATGCAGTTGCTTATTCATATAAAAACTTTTCTCCCCTTTTATCCTTTATGAAGATGAAAGTAGGAGTAATTTTTTTATACATAATTTAAATTTGTATCTTGATATTTTAGTAAGAGATGACTATTTTGTCAGTCCTTTAGAACTATGCTATTGAACTAAATTATATTGTGTTATTTCATTTAAAAATATACACATATCTATAAAGGATACATTCTTTTAAAGAGAACTTATAGAACAAAGTATATATAAATGGATTTATTTCTTAGATCCTTTTCTAACTTTTATGCTGTTGCTGTTGTCGTATACTGTCAAGTCAGAATACACCCATAGCTGACCCTCCAGTGGGTTTTCAGAGGCAGTTAACCACATGGGAAGTAA